GGTTTTGGCCTGCAAAAAAAAGAGGATTGCATATCCGAAAAAATCAATAACAGATCTAAAAAATAGATGCTAGAATCTATTACATTTTGAACTCACATTTCAATATGTTTAAATTGCTTTCCTCTCATTTTTTCTAGTCACCTGATGAATTTATGAATATATTCAAAGTTTGATCTTGAGAAACACTTTCACCACAGAAACCACAACTCAAAAATTACCTTGTCAAACATGAACCTGAAAAGCAACCGTCTAAGAAAGACCACTACCATAAAGTATAAAAAAACTAGCGTCACTATAAGAAACATTTTTTTATAATCACCATGAAATACGAAATGATACCAGTTTTAAGCAAATCTCATTTTCAGCATCGTGCAATGGAAGAAGTTCTGATCCTGGTTTTCTCCACAAAAAAAAAGTTTTTTCATTTCTTCTGCTGATTTTCCATTAGAATAAAGCCAAAATATAGCATAATAAATAAAATTGGATTATGAATAACTTGGTCAACTATTTGTGAACAAATATTATTATTAAACAATTAAACAATCCCAATGATCAATGTCATATAATAATGACGGATGCTGATTTGATCGTATTTATTTCCTTACTATAACGGGGCTCTTTCAGAATCCTAGAAGTCACACAGAGCATTTCAATTACTGTAAAATTCTCTCGATCTTCATGTTTATTTATACATATTTCCTAAATATTCACTTTTTCTTTCTATACATATTGAAAAAGAAGCAATCTCTCTTAATTTGATCAGGTTTCTTTTCTATATGTACCTGGAATAATCCTAGATTTTGTCTGTTGTCATGCAGTACACTGGAGGAAGGACCTTCTAGTAGGATAATTTTTACCTTTCAATGGTACCTCTGAATTTTGTATGAAATTTCTTTTAAACTCAACCGAATCATTTTAAGGTGAATAAATTGAGAAGATTACGGCGTAAAAGTGAAAAAATTAGGGAATGTGATACGTCTTACTTAGGGAGGACGTTCTCAATTCCAACCCTTCCGCTACTTTTGATCAGAACTGAGCCTCTTGACAGTCCAATCGGAGCGTCCTAAAGCTGTAACCACATTTAAGCTCCGACACTCAGTGATCGGCCGACCTCATATTTCAGAAGACAAACATCACGCTTGCCAAATGGCACGTCTTTTTTGTAGAGATCGCGAGGCTCGAAATCTCGCGCCACTTACTCGCTGCCCCCCTGCACGCGGCTCCGGGATTTATGTTCCACCTGATTTCTCATAAATTTCGTTGAGCAGGAATTCGTAATCGCTTGCGACGTTTTGATTTATGGCTCCTAATGGTCCAATGGAGAAGATGTTGTTGAGAAAATATATTGGTTGCTGGCTAAGAGGCAGGCCATGAACATATGTTACATTGGGTCCGTCTTCAGGGATTTTCGAATGTATCTTTTAAACATGTAAGTAAATGTATTTGGGGAATTTTTTGAACAGCAATAATGAAAACAATTTTTTTAGTTTGCAGGGAAATGTATTCAGGGAACTTTAGCCAACAGTTCGCAGTTTATACTTTTGGAATTTAGACTGACGTTGCACGAAACAAATTTATTGCATCGCTGCAGCGCTCCAAATTTTCTGAGGTAAGCCATCTTTTTGCGCAAATTTTACGATGCCAGTGAGAAAAATGAGGCACATGACTCCGGTTATCCATTTTCTTCTCGCTTTCTGGCATAACTTTGGACATGCGGGTCTCAACTTTTGGACGGTCCAACCAGCGGTTACGTACATGAGGCATCTATGAATTGTATGCTTCCTATGAACATACATAACATAATGCTTCATATCAATAAAATAATAATAAAAGATATCTAAGGACTTCAATAAGTTAAGCATCTCTGATGCGTTTTCTTACAAGTTTATGAACTCAGATGGAACGAGGTCGTAGGATAAGACTGTCTTAGTTTATTACTGGGAAAACATCGTATATATACGACGGCTCGACCAGTGACATACGGATACCAGGCTACCATATTTAACAGGCTGCTGCTTCGAAACCAAATAATAAGCAAAGATAATTTAGCATTTAAAAAAGTTTAACAGTTTGAAGCGCCCAACAAGTTTCTGAGCTCGGGTGAACCGAGGAAGGAGGAGAAGGTTATCTGTCGTGGTTCATTTCTTGGGAGAACATTGCACGACGACGCAATGTCATCGCATGGTCCATTCAAAATGCAGCTTCTGCTGCTTCAAGGACCATGAAACATTCGTGGGAAGAGATTCCTAAGAGGAAAAGCTCGGAGGAGAGACTTGAGAAACAAAGCGTTGGTCATTAGGTCAACTTTTTAGGAGAAGCGCTTCGATCGCTATTCCTGATTTTTTTTCGTTTAGCACAATGTGAAGAAGAGGTTGCCTAAATTGTTCATGTTGACATTTTATTGTAAAATTTGATTTAATTAGGAAAATAGTAAGATGTAATTCAAATTTAGGTTAAATAATTTAATATGGATAAATTCGAATAATTTCATAGAATATACTCATATGTACCGGGGAAAAAGCCTCAAACTCTTCGGGAATAATGCCGGTGATTTTAACTGAACATTTAACCGAATTCAGTATAATTCCCATCGTGAAGCAGTTTCACTTACAATTTGGCTAGTCTGAGGAGCTCCGAAAGCAATAAGCTTACAAAGCTACGCTCACATCATAGTGTATTTTACGAAATTTGTGACAGGAGTATTAATCTCCTGTTTATTGTGAAACAAAGATGCAATTTCTGATCTTAATTATTTCATCTTGCGGCGAGTCTGCTGTGCAGCAGCAGGCGGGTCCGAAATCCATTAGGTTTATGGCACATTTTACCGCCGCTTGCGAATGAGCGTGTATGCTTTAGCATGCGGCGTCTGCGGTTCAGTAATTAGAAGCTTCCTTAATGAGCGAGGTGTCATTCATCACCGCCTGAATGTTAACAAATTAAAGATAATGAGTGTGCTGAACCACAACTTTTAAACAGTTCCCGCAGTCACGTCCGAGCTCACACATATTTCCATGAGCGGCGGTTACGTGCTTGATTAAACTTAGCCAGTCATAATCTGCATAAATAAATAAAGATGTCTGGCTTAGAAAATTCTTTATAATTCTTCGTTTACAAACAGAAAAAAAATCTAAATTGATGCCTCTTTCACTGAAATTTTGTATCACAAATACGTGTAAATTACGCAAGACATTATTTATTGGTTTATAATAACCACTTTCGCGCAAACAAAGTTGAAAATCGTAATCTTTGGACCTCTTTGTCTTGGCTGACTCTATACGAGCGAGTCACTGCAGGCACTGAAGCTTCCGTTACATTAGTTTGATTGCAGGCGATTGATGGTTCATTCACTCTTATCCTTGAGTGACTTCCAAAGCAAACCTGAGATAAAAACTTGAACGGTCAAAGGGAGACATCGGTTTCGAGGTAACTGTAGCTTGGAAATAATGCGAACGATTGCTCTGCAGGAAATCATTGTATACTATCATGAAACTAAGTTATCCTTGTGCTCGAAAAATGAGTTAAAATTCATGAGTTTTATTGTAAGGTTTGCTTAGAAAAACATTTCCAGGAATCAAAACGTGGTGCCGGAACGATATGTATTTTGATGTCTTCCCCATTTCTTCTCAATATAATTATGGTGTTCTGAGTTATTGCGAATACATAAAGTAGCAATAATTTGAAAATTACAGTAATATTGCCTTCGAAGTTTTTCCTTACCAGAAAAAAATACTATCACAATCTCCTCCTGAGAGCTTCGTTGCCACTCCCGAAATTCACGTATATGCTCGAGATTTTCAGCTGTAAGCTATCCTTGACAGTCCGTTCAAAAGAGTTGCTGAGGAGACCCCATCTATAAAAAGCCAGCCGGAAACGCCCCTTGGATTTAAAACTCCACCAGCATCCGGAGACTTGAAGCTAACGCTGTTAACGACACCTCTCGGAGACAGAGTCTGGAACACGGAATTAGAGAAATTCTGACGAGATTTTCTGGAGTAAAAATGAAAATTATTGCAGCAAACTACGGAGCAATTGAGTGGAAAATTGCTCTGGTAATTGACCTCTGAAAAACAGCTCAAATGACTCGTTCCAGTGGCAATTGTCGCGGCAAATGGAGGAAAAGTGAAAGGGATTGCACATTAGAAACTTGTCCTATGCGTGAATGAAGTTTATTCATTCATAAAGCCAACCGCATTTGTTAGCATCATTTTTAACTATCTGTTGATTACAAATTAGCAGCCAAATTATTTTGGACATCGTATTGAGTCCTATTTTGAGCATCGTAATTTTTCAAAACGACATTATCACTGTTTATTGTATATACAGTTTTTTTTAATGATGACCCAATTTAACAAACTCATATTTATTCAAGTATACATTCAAAATGCATATATAACATACTAATGGAAAGGGAAACTTTCATTTTTTTAATTATTTATAAATGTTCAATATGTTTGTCCTCCTTGTGCTGTACGGCAAACATCCAAACGGTAAAATCTTTTTGAATCAGTCACTTCCTGAGAACTCTGTTTACGTCCCGCCTCTACCAGCAACTCTGTTTACGTCCTGCCTCTACCAGCAACTATGTTTACGTCCCGCCTCTACCAGCAACTCTGTTCACGTCCCGCCTCTACCAGCAACTCTGTTTACGTCCTGCCTCTACCAGCAACTCTGGTTGATCTGAAGAACCGTATCAATGCTACGGTGCACTCAGTAACAGAAGATATGCTTTCTCGTGTGTGTTTGTCTAACGTTTAGATGTTTGCCGTGTAACGCAAGGGAGATATATTAAACATATATAATATGAAAAAACTACGAATCGTTTTCTTTCCATTGGTTTGTAAATTATTCATTTGGAATTCATATTTGAATAAATACATATATATATTAAATTAGGTCCATCATTTAGATAGAACAACATTTTTATGCCCGTCATAACAGTTAAAATTACATATTTCTGCTCTTTACCACTTTAAGCTTAGTTTTGAAAAGGAAAGTCTGGGAAAAGCAAGTGTTTATTGAACGCAGAACCTGTAAATTCTCAAGTGGATGGCAAAAATGCATTTTTACTATTCCCATGCTCATGATAGTTCAGCTTTGTGATTTATAATAAATATAACATAAGGTGAACGTATTCTATGAATTACCTTCAGTTTATACTTACATATGATGTGGTTCTTGTAAAAGTTTGCAATTGGTTCCCTTGAGATTAAAATATTTGTTTTCTTTTGCAATTTATTTTATATCATGAGCAACATAGAAAAAAATTTGACAATGAACATAGAGCAAAATCAAGTTCATAGTCATTTTATCAGAAAATATTATTCAACCTCATTTTAAACCGTTAAACATTCTAAGCTTGATCAAATAGTATTTTTGATGTAAGTGATCCAACATGATAAAGAGTGTCTATTTATTTCATGCCACAGAAAATCAATTATAAGATATTAAATTAAATTAAAATCATCCACAATAATCCACATGAATTCATCCACAATAAAGGCATGTGGACGAATTTGTAAGGTCTTACATAATTGTCAATATCATTATTACCAAGGAATCATTGGCAGCGTCGTCTTGTAATTTTGCGACACCAAAAACATTGTCGTATAAATTTTTGGGATTGCGGTTAGTGACCTCGATAAGATAACGCGATCAAGTTATTATATTTTGTACAGGAACTCTTTAATTATACACTAGGATTTCATTCAGGGATTCTTATGAAATAAAAATAATTAACCCCCAATTAATTGTCCGAAGTAACTAAGGAATTCGTTATTAATAACTTTATAACCAAAAACGCAGCACAAATTCAGCCAATCATTATGTTAAGAAACAAAACTCCGGTTGCAAACTAATTTTTTTAGGACATTTATCTTTGGAATGATCCTTTAAATTTTTTTGTGAAGATATCCAAGCTTTAGATAACGTCATATACGTTCAGAAACTTATCAGATTCATTTACCACGTGCACCATCAAGATATGTTTTTCTACCAAATAATTTGGAACCGTTGGGACCTGGCCAGCATCTATGACGGTTTCATCATATTTACGTAGGCAGAAGTTTAACGCAGACCAGTAATTGCCCGCAGCACTACTATCCACTACTTCATATACTAACTGCCACTAGTTACCCTTCTATCGATCTCGTGTGTGTCGCGTCTACTGACCACTGAAGAAGCCAATGACCCTATACTCGAGGCCAGTTGAAAGCTAATCAGTGGCAGTTAGCATCAGGGAGTTGAACGTACTGGTTGCCACAACTGGCCCAGCATACAATCACCTCTTGCTAACATTGCAAGCGAGCAATTTTTCATCATTAACTCTCTGATTCATTTATTGACTCTAAGGCTATTTCAGTATAAAGCCTCCATAAGGCAACCATAAAGTAATATGTCTCGCTCAAAGAGCTTTTTGGTAGTTCATAGACATCGACTTTGCAATCACATGTACATGTAATATTGATCATCCATCACGTTTCTAAAGATGTGAAATATTACCGCTAACAAATCACAGCTGGCCAAGACACTCAATTCCCAGTAAGCAAATAACTGAAAAGATATTTTACCCCAACTACTTATTTAGTTATATTGAACGGTCATTGTATGATGTGAATTGAATATCTTGGCCCGTGAATGAGGGGAGCTCATACATTTCCGAGAAAAGTCTACTAGCTTTTGGGACTCAGTTGTCGTCGTATCGCTGTTTGAAATATTATTAATTAAGCAAAATAGATGCATGCATTATTTGCATTAATTACAAGCCATGGATATATATTCGTCGGGTTCCATAATAACTAGAGAATATTTTTCTTAAATATATTATTTTCATAATATATTTAATAACCCAGAAATATATTTTTCTTCATCTCGTAACGGCAGAGTCGAATCACCGATGGGTTTCAACGCGTCAAAGAAATGTCAACAAGCAGATGAACATGAATTGTGGTCATAAAAGCATTTTAATTTTTATTATTCCAGTAATTCATCTTAATATTTCACACGTTAACTTTATGTATAAATTCAAAGCCCTATTTTTTAATCTTAAGGAAGCTCGTTTTGTCAACATATTGTCCATGAACTTTTTGAAATCTTTAAATACAATATTTCTTAATGAATTCTTTTGCACGGAATGTAACAGAAACAGCCCACCGTCGTCTTCTGCAAAACAATAATTTTTTCAGTGTCACCTTTCAACTCTCCTTTGAAACTCCTAAACAAGGCAAATAAATTATACATTAACCGATTTGATATTTAGTGTTCTGTAGCATTTATATAACAAATTTATAGAGGGTGATAAAACTCTTCACTTAGAAATATTGCATGGATTAATAAAATTCACTAAAACTTCGAAACAATAACGCCATAAAATTTACTGAAGCATAAATATTGACATAAGTCTCCCATTTCGTGGGAAATATAATATATGGGCAATAGGGTTCAGCAAGCAATACCAGAATCTATACATATATATTCTATGAACATAGTACAATATCTTTTTCAAGTTATGCACTATGTTTCATTTATCAAAGTAATTTCAACTCCTTAAAGTATATTAGACAACATATGAGATAATTCAAAAGTGTCACCAACGCCCCCGTACTACAAGCACGACTTCTAATTTCCACAGGAGAAGCCAAGTCCAAACACACGCGAGTGTCGACACTCTGACACCCAAGGAGTTCAGCGTCGCGCCTGACACGCCACACTCCAGGTCCTGCTTGAGCGCCTCCATGAGGGATTTGTGTCTGTCAGCGCAGGGAGTGCGGCGCAGCTGGCGCACGGTCTGCTGACACTCCAGGTATGGCTGCAGGGCGCCTTCACTCACACACACGCTGCTGCGCCACACCTTTAGCCATGTCTCCAGCCACCTGGCCACAAGGAATTTAAATACATCCGTTATTGTGGCACCGCATTTTAAGGTAAGGGTAACACCGCATTTTAAGGTAAGTATTAATTAATTCACTTGGCGCTCCTCCGAATAGGTCGTTAGGCAACGAGTAGATGATATTGACCGCAATGAAATAATTCCTTAGTCTGTTCATTTTTCAAAAACAATACAGCATAATTTTGGAATAGTACTCAGACTGCCAGTAAAAACATGCGAACACTAGTTGATTTACTCGAGTAATTATTTTTTCTTTCATTCAGGATTTAATGACAAATAAAGATTTGTGACATTCTTAATACTGTAGTTCATTCTCTATGCATCTGAAATAAGTCAAATTGAAGATGAAAAGTACTTTTCAAAAATAAAATAAATGATTACTCTGCAAATTAACCGACTCCATGACACATCCTTTTTTGTAGATAAAATTCAGATCGATGCTCGATGAAAAAGCGTTCATTGATGGTGTGTGATGGAATAAATTGAAAAATTATTTGAAAACGGACCGTTAACGAAATCTTTTTGTAACACTTGAGCGGTGAGTAAATCAGTGAAATTCTATCAATAAAATTACGCGCTAAATAGCTGCATATTGTTATTAAACAAAACGCATTTATATTAAGAACTCAAAAATATAAACATATCAGATTAATATTATATTTATATTTATATCATATATTTTAAATAGAAAACACAGTATCTTACCCAATGCCGCAGTCACAGGTCCACTTGTTCTGACTCATGCTGAGGTCGGTGAGGAAAACAGAGCCCCGAACCCCGGGGTAATTAACGGTGGTGTAAGGTTCTCCCAGACCTGTGAGGCTGTTGTTGTGGGCGGCAACTGCCACAAACCTGTGTATTATCAAAGTTTGTGTTACATTTTTAATCAATTCACACAAATATTTTATGCCTGAATAGCAATGCAGTGAGCAAGTTGCCTCAAATATGAAGCATTATATTTGCGTTTTCAGTTGGAAAATTTGCCATGTGGTCATGGGTGTTTATATAATTAACGCAAGTACCTTTATGAGAGATACAAAACTATTTACGCGGTTTCATAACAGAAAATAATTCCTTCTAAATTTTGGGTTTAGGAAAACGAATTTTTCAACAAACGCATGACATGGAAATGCGCAATTAAAGTCTAATATATTGTCCCGGTAGTAATAATAGAAAGATTGACCTGCTCATGCACAATAACACACCTGACCCTGCCGAGGTTGGTGAAGAGTTCATGAGGGACGTACGTCAGTCCTGTTCTCAGGAACGTCAGCCGCAGCTGTCGCGACGTCAACATCTGCAAACGGGACGCAAAAAACGAGTTCAGTTAAAATTCGCAAAGAAAATTCGCACACAGGAATTCGTTTCAGTACGAGAATACGAAGATATTTACTGATGGCGAAAACTTTGTTGAAAATTCTTGAGAAGAAGTTTGAAATTTTTAAAGATTTCTTCTTAATAATTAAATATTCTTAAACTATTTAACACAGGAGTTCCTTTATAAAACCAATCCGAAACAAACCGAGAAAATGTGGTAGACCAGCCATATTGCTTGGTTCAATATTATTTTTAGCGCATTTTCTATTTATGGAAAAAATGCTCTATATTATGCTCGTCATGTCCGTCTGTCTGTCCGCGCTTTCCGTGACTTCACGTTTTCGCCGACAAGAAAATGCGCTCTCTCTCACTCACTGCAGTGAGTACTGAGTTATATTTTTAAGTCAACAGTCAAGATATATCTTGTTACGCATGCATTTGCTAATGGTGAACGTTGCGAGCGTTCATTCATATTGTCACGAAAAAAAAACAATATATAAGGAACAATTATTGCAAGAACAGGATGGTTTTCAGCTCTCGATTACGCCGACACTCTCGATTACCCCCGACAAGTCTCGATTACGCCGACACTCTCGATTACGCCGACACTCTCGATTACGCCGACACTCTCGATTACGAGTTCTCTCCGTGCAGCAAGTGGCTGATTGCTCCATGTAATGGGCAATCCACGTAATTAAACGAGTTCCCGAAACGAAAAGTGTCTCATCAAATTACGTTAATTATTGTCAGGCCTTAACGCAGAGTGAGTTTCTGTTAAGTAAATTAAGACGAGCGGATGGGTTACCCGGTAGCATGCGTCATCACGGGACGTTGCATTTTTATTTATTTATTTTTATCTTTTATCGATTAATGCCAACAACGAGGAAAAATTTCGAAATTCAGATGTGCCTGAATAATTACAAACCTTTCAAAATTCGGTCGGAATATTGCTGATAACAATTAAATATTATTAGAAAAACTTTTAACAAACTCTGTTAGAAAGCCGTAATTGAGTTTATTCAATACTAAATTGGACATTGATTACTGGTTGCTCTAATTTAGGACTGAAGATCTGAACGACTAATATTATTTCGAGTTATAAATTTAAAATCCAACTTCTATATATACTAAGATGAAATTTTATTATCAGGTCATGGTGAAGGCCGGACAGGTGCATTGATATAAAATACCAATTCTTCCCAAAAAACTCGCAAGCCCAATAAACATATTGAATGACGGAAGCATTGCAAAAATCTTTTCATCATAAATTGCTAGGAATAGGTATATCAAGTATCAGTCCTATATATATATGGAATAAACATGTGTATGGCACTGTATAGTCGCTTGCTTTCTGCATTGAACACAAAAGCCATTCGTATAATCTGAAATATTATTACCGGCACCTTCTTCAAATAAGCCTCCCATTATTATTATCCACATGCCATATTAATAAATATCAAATTTTGATATTTATATATCAATATATCAAAGATCACTATTCGCCAAACAAATTTAAGTCTATGCTATCATTCTACCCTGCTTACGCGTATGTATCACGTCTTGGTCACAGATTCCTAACTGTAATAAACTTTGACATTCAGTCAATAGCAACAAACTAATGTACGGACTGCATTTATCGATAAAAAGGAATATGAGACTGCTTTTAAATTGCTATCATTTGAATGGCTCCCATTTCCGTCAAGTGCCAATTCCGTATAATAAACCGACAATATTCTTTAATTTGCATACGCTTTTTTGGTTGGGTGATATTCTCATATCTGAAACGTTTTTATTGAACACAGCATTTTGGATCAAAGTTAGGCCGTGTGAAGTATCGAACTTCACTCCGAAGCTTTCAAGTTTATCAACCGAGAATTTTATATAAGAAACGCGAGCCTTGAAAGGCTATTTCAAGGCTCTTGATAGGCCAAAAATACCGCAAAAAGCTGCTGTAAAAAGACCCTGACGGTGGAATTCGATTCAAAAATATGATAAAAAGATCATATGAAAAACCGAAATACTGCGAAAAATTTTCTTGACGGCAGTAAAATTGTGCAGTAAATTCAGATTACGGGGTTTCAGTCATCATGAATAATTTTTTTTTTTTTCAATTTGAAAAAGTTGAATATTTCCTCACGGTTCGTACCATTGGCTGTGTAGTTAATACTTATAAAAAATTCTCAGATATGGCGATTCCTGTATTGTACGCTACTAGAATTGTTTTTATTTACCATACACTCCCAATAATTAAATTATTTAAATGTACATCAATCTGCTCATAGCAATTTATCGTTATGTATTTAGTAGTTAGTGTACCTCTTTATATAGGCTTGTATCTAAAAATTTGTTTTCGTCAGTGCACCACGTAGGAAAATAGCAAATTTTTGAGCCGTATAATTGAGCTTAAGTCACGACAAAATGAAGTCTAACAAAAAGATTTAAACTTCAAAAAGCGACTATAAAACAACCCACTTTATGTCCCTAAAATCGTTAAGCATTAGGAGGTAATGCTCGAAATTTTTCTTTTCGTAATGAACTCAGCAGTTTTTATGCTTGAAAATTTTTTTGAAGATGACGGTTAAAAAGCTGACGGTTTTAAAAATTCTGTATCACAGGAGACCGTAAATTCGCTATATATGAGCTTACATTACCGTCTGTTTTCACTCTCTAATGAGCTCCACAATTGCTATGAAATTCGCTGAAATATCATACAGTCAACGGCTTCTTTGATTGAAAAGAATAGACACTAGGCTTCACTGTGTGGAAACTTCAAAATTATTATGGTATTTAATATTCAACGTTAATCATTTCTGTTGAATACTCACATCCAGAGCTTTTGGGTCAATCTGCTTCATTTTGTGTCCGATGAGAGTGACGTTGGTGAGTCTGTACGGCAGAGCGCCTCCCCGCAGCTCAGAGCCAAGAGAATTATCCGCCTGTTAATTCAAGAACATATAATTGGTGATGGTTTGGAATACGGACGAGTAGGATAATACGGATTGTGGAGTCAATTTTATACTCTTTTATGATTAGTAATACCAAAGCGCGGGATTGTCCACCTGCAGAGGTGATGGTTTGTAATAAAGATGCGCACACTGGGATACATATTTGCTCACTGGGATATTTATTTTAAAGCTGCAGATGAGCATCTATTCTATGGATTAATTAATTGCATCACATTATTGGATGGAAATTAACTATTATCTGTCCGTGATCAGCCTATATAAAATAAGCATCTCTATAACGTTGTGTTAAATCTAAAGAATTCGTTGGAAACGCGAATGAGCTCAGCTGGTACGACAAAATGATGGACGAATTCGTTTCTTAGCGCAAATGAATTATTAAATTTATAAAAAATGCCCCTTGTAAAATATGATAACCAGCAATCTTGTTATTAAGATTTTTATTTTATCTGCAGATGAGCACACAGTTGGATAGATGCAAACGAGCGTCATTTTTTCTTCATTAAGATACTCATTAAATATTCGAATGTGCTTCGGATATATTGAATGATGCGTCACCATTGCTATTATCAACAAATGGCTGGAAAAATTTGTGGATGAATTACTATCGTGACATGACTAATCACAGGAATTGCGTCAATTTCAAAAGAATCATACATTGCCTGATTACAGTGATTAGCAATCTGCATCTGTAGGTCACATATCACACTTCACCTTTTATCGGTTACAGTAGTTAGACAACCCATTAAATATGAAAATTAACTTGATCTTCTCGATCACATATTATTAGCTGATATTTATCACCTATTATAGGAACTAACTTTAGATGCAGATTAGCAGCCGGTATCTAGGTATCACCCTCCCTATGAATCGCCTATTTTCTATTATGTATTATATATTACTAGTTAACGACTCATCATATATGCACATTAGTAGGAGGCGCATCTTTGTATCACCTAATATGAATCACCTACTGCCTATGATGTATCATTTATTGATGGTTAGGAACTCATTAAATATTCAAATGAGCAGGCGAGTTGCACCGAAGTCTCACCTGTAGCGTGAGGTCCTGAAGAACTCATTAAATATTCATCGACGAAAACTTGAGGTCACGGACGGACGGACAGACGGACATGGCGAGCACAATAGTGCATTTTTTCCATAAATGAGAAAATGCGCTAAAAAGTTACTTATAAGTTCATAACTCCACCAGCCAGTCACTGACGGATTTTCAAACTAAACTTACCAATTACAGACGAGAAATCGGCCGCCATTGGCACTTATGCCGCTTCATGTACATAATCAAGTTTCGATTATACGGTCTAAAGGCAAATTTAAAATTGATTGCACTAGTTAATGCCGTTAGTTTAATTAGTTACAATTTATATTTATTATAGTTAGTTAAAATTTATGGTATTATAATTACTCATACGTTCATAACTCGTTTTGACGAATCAACAAAAACCAAAGCGAACAATTCTTGTTGAAGGAATTATTTTCTTCAATGCCACTCAGCCAGTTTTCAAATGAGATTTTCTCCGATGTCCATTATACGTACAATTAATTGAGTTAATACTAAGGTGAAATACTTCTGCATACAGATAATTCCTACCTAATTTTGTTCTACTGATTTTCAGAATAATATCATGAGCTGATTAGTGCTAGTGGGGTTTTTCTAATCCACTAAATTGAATCAGACTGGGTAATTCTTGTGAACAATTTTCTCAATTAAATTGCTGCAATATGAGTTGTTCTCACTAATGTGAGCTTAATCCTAATGGGCCCCAACTACACTGATGCCAATATTTAAATCGTGACTATTACTGCATATGAAAAACTCGACCAACATAAAATGAACCAATGTTTGTTTTAACCTGCTTGTTGCGCTGTTTTCTCTCAACGCGATGCAAAATGAAATTTCCTGTCGACATAAAAAGACAAGAATTGAAATTGTTGCGCGTTTTGCAACAGATGAAATATGAGTAATTAAACTCATACGGATTCATGTTTATATTAATATATATATGAATACAAATATGAATCCGCAGTGATATAATATGAATTCGTTGATAGCCAGATTTTTTTTTTAATTTGCGTGGGCATGCTCAACGTTTTTTCTATCCAATAATCTAGAATTTAGAGAGCTTATTTTAGAACCACCCTAGCAGCAGAGTTCTACCTTATCTTCTGAAAAAGTACCGGTATCAAAGATATTTTTTTAGATTTTAGCGCACATAAAAGATAAATTGTTGATTTCGTTTCAAGGTCCGCATGTTTTATCTATTCTTTCAATCAGCGAGAATCTATGGAACCATTCCCCTTCGTTTGCCTGTGCTGCGATCATACGGGTCTTTCACAATAGGACACAAAAAATTAAAAAAGCAATACATATCTGGGGAAATTGCATTCGTTAAAATTGTGTGTAGCTATCTTACAAACCCGCGGCCGAGTGATGAAATCCCTTGACTTTCATCAGTTCATGCATAGCTGCAAAATATGTCAAGGCATTTTGGTCATTTTGGTTGCGGATTTTTTCGAAAACTTTATTGTGATTTTTGAAAAAAATTAAATTAGTTCAAATTCGAAAATCAAAATTATAATTAACAGATAAGATTCAGAAAATGAGAGTTAGAGAAGAAATACGTTTATTACGGGACGATTCAGATGGGGGATTTCTTCATATGAGTTTTTTCTTCACCATAACAACAACACGATTTAAAAAAAAAAACAAGTTTGTAAAAGTATCCGGCTTACTGAAATGTTTCGAACAACCATTCAGTCGAAATGTTATGTATATATATATATATATATATATGCGCCAATTCCATAAACTTCATTTAATATGAACTGTAACCGCTGATAGCCAGATATGTTAATATCTGAACTGTAACCTAATAATAATAATAATAATAAGCGGTTACAGTTAATGTCTGTAACTTTTAATATGAACTGTAACCGTTGATATCCAGCCTTACTTTGTTACGAACCATCATAACGATGGTCTTCAGGTGATACTGGCGTTAAGGTGTAATTAATACAAGTGACTAGTAAAGGAAAACCAGTAAAGTTTAATTCCAAGATAAAAAATTGAAACTCTAATTCTCCAATATCCGGCCAAGGGACTTAAATTACTATTCATTGGTCTGCAAAATGAACGTAAAATTACAATTACATATAAAGGCTCATTGTACAAATGTTCAGGTAGCTATATTACGACAAGCTTCGCGCCGTACCAAAATGCACAGCGTCTAGACTATTACAATGACACGCGATGGAAGTGTAAGGGAGTCTTAAACGAACAGAAGCTCCGCGAAATGCGGAAAAGCTGTGTCTACATGACTATCGTCATTCACATCATTTAAATTATTTATATGGTATCTTATTTTCTTTATTCGTATTCTGTTCTTTTATGTACTCATCATACTTTTTGACGTGTCTTAATTATTTTTTGTTGTTTGTTACATCATTCGCATGCTTTCGACGCATCAGAGAATATGTGACATATGTTACGAATACGATTACGTAGCATTTCAAATGACATTTTACCGATGTCAATTATACGTGAAATTAATTGAGTTAATACTGAAGTGAATTACATATGTTACGAATACAATTTAAACAACATAACTTATTGTAGTAGAAGATCACATTAACGATCATTATTGCTCGTATGAAAAGCTCGGCTGCTTCTCATTCTATTGCGCTCGCCCGGCGCTGCGTAAACGCTAATCGGAGGAAATGCCATGATTCTTCCGCATGAAGAATGCCTGTATAAAGATGCGGAAAATATAGAATTCCGTCTCTAACAAACGCAATTAATCGAGGGTGGCCGCGTTGATGATATTCTGTAACGTAACTTGCAGGTCTCTGTGGTTTCAATAGAAATACTTAATGTTCAAGATAGCGTTTTTAGTTGGCATATTGATAAAGTTTCAACTACACTTCATGTGCACGGAATGAATTTAGGATGTTAGACAGGCTTTCTTCAAGATAACAAAGTGATAATATACGGTATAGAGAAATTTATTTTGAATTTTTCACACGATCTCATAATCTTTATTACTCCATCGTTATAAGTGCTTCTGAATCTAGCTTAGTAATTACGCATCAAAAGATTCTCAGATAAAATCGTACAAGAATGAGGCGCGTCTTTCCCTACAATATTCAATCGAAAATTATCCGTGGCTCACACACAGTGTGTTATCTGCAAGCTACTAATGGTCAATTATTATTAATTGATATTAAATTTGAAATTGAATAATTATTTATTGATTGATGTGACATCGATCAATTGGTTGATGATCAATTGATGACTTTCCAGGTGCCAAGAAATTTTCTTTCATTTCCAGTGAATAAAAACTTCTCAAGTTTTTACCGATGATCAAAACTCAGAATTATTTTGGACTATTATATTATAATATGATATTAACATTATTTCATTGTTTTTATATCCGCAGGAAATATTTTTTCAGAAATTTAAACTTATCCATAACGGATTGAATGCTAGGTTCGAATGAAAGGTAAAGCTCATTAAAAGCTCATGACATTTTTTTCTACTCGTGTAATTACGAACAAATAGAAGCATTCCAAAAACAGTAGTTATATTAATTTTCTCTGGGTTGTACAGCAAATTTTTCAGCAAAATGTTGACAATTGACACTAACAACATTTTTTTATGATTCTACATGCATTCGTATAAAAACTAAGTACACAAAGAAGCGAATTAAGGCATTAAATGCCTGCCTCTGATTTTTTTCCAACGTGAAAATAGACGAAGCTGTTTTAACAGAAAAACAAGTTCCTTCAATAGAACAAATTTCATTTCTCAAATAAAATATGAAAAATGATGTCATTTTATATTGGCATTTCTAACGATGTTACATATCGGTATCTCTTTTCACCTGGAATACGTGCAGAGGGAAGTCTCTGATGTCGAGCACCTGTAGCCTGCTGAGGGAGGCGAAGGTGCTGTTGGTTATGCATGACTTGCCTGGAATACGTGCAGAGGGAAGTCTCTGATGTCGAGCACCTGTAGCCTGCTGAGGGAGGCGAAGGTGCTGTTGGTTATGGACCGAACAAAGTTGCCCTGCAGGCGGAGGTCGCGCAGGTAAGGCATCACCTGCCACGCGTTGCTGCCGGGGGCCGTTAATTCATTGTGGCTCACATCCAGCGTCCTGGGAAATCAATAGTTGTTTACATTATCATAAGGATATGAATACTTTGCATTGTTAAATCATTTTTAAATTAAAATATTCGATAGACCCACTTGTGAGGCTAAAAATACTTTCCCCGATGGTACAAGTCACTGCATTTCGATCAATCTTGTGTTCTACTTCAATTCCTTAATAATTGCTTCCATTTCCACATACTTAGGCTTTCCAGACTTTAAAACTGCGTATTTTTCATTCAATTCATTCGTTTTTCTTAGATTACATTAAAATTTCAATTCGAACACAATGTTGATGGTGCTTGAGTGTTGAAGCATCGCGAAACTTGTCGTTTACGCTAATTGAAGCAGAATGAAGAGGTTTTACTTTATTCATCATGTGAATTTTTTTTTTGCATAAATAAATACAGGTTTAATCTTCCCATATTACCAATGAAAATGTATTGTTCGTTGTAAAAGTGAGCTCGGAGTGTCATTGAAAGTTCCCGCAGTTACTTACGAGCTACAAGAATTACTATTGGAAACATAATCTTTCTTGGAAACCAGGTAGGAAAATACGACAACTGACCTGATGCCGGTCAAGTTGGCCATGGTGTTGGTAGGCAGGAAGGACAGAATGTTGTTGGACGCGTTCAGCACCGCGAGTTTTGGATGCTGTAGCTCAGGGAAGCTCTTGATGCTCGTGTTGGCCACGCTCAGATTCTGCAGCGAGTCTTGCAGCCCATCGAAGGTGTATAAGTCGATGTCCTTGAACAAAAAACAATGTTTTATAGATAATGCAACTGAGTTTGAAGGAAACGATAACATGCAAAACTAGAGAATAAAACAACGGGAGAACATAAGATCTCATTTTGTTTCATCGTTGAAATTGTCCATCAGAATCAAACGCAATGCAGCAGATCAATCGTAAATTAAGTAAAGGATTCCCTTACTTGATTATAAATCATTTCAGGGTCTTCGAAAAGGTCAGAAAATTAATTTATTTGAAAAAAAAACGAAAGGAAATGTTTTCTGTAGCTTAAAACTCACGTTTAAGGGGTTATTGGACACGTCCAGCGATGTGAGCCTCCACAAATCATGGAATGATCGGTAGCCAATGAGGTGGATTTTGTTGTGAGATATGTCGAGTGCTATCAAATTTTCCAGTCCACCGATCACAGCGTCAGAGATGTTGGTGAGCGAGTTCCAGGATAGATCCAAAACTCTAAGAGTTTCGGTGATGTGGTGAAGAGTGTTGTCAGGTACTCCGTGGAAATTATTCTTACTTAACTTGAGGATCTCGACAGGGCAAAGTCGGAAGAGATCGTCGGGCATTCGGTGCATAAGGTTGCCCGAAAGATCGACGTAACTTAGATATCGGTGGTTTTTGAAAAGAGTTAGCGGTAAATCCTTGATATTGTTGTAGCTAAGATCGATACTACGCAAAAGATCCGTTTCTCGGAAGGCTTCGGGGTCTACAACCGATATATGATTGTTCGAAAAATCGAGTAATTGAATTTGCAACATTTTTGAAAAAATATTGGCGCTCAGGTTATACATGTTGTTGTGACTAAATCTAAGATGCTGCAGGGATATTCTAACAGATTCAAAGTACTCAGTATCAATGGATGATATATTATTGTAGCTAAAGTCTATTGTTTTGATGCTGGAGATGGATGACCAGCGAGTTCCGTTCATTTTAAGGGCAGAAATTTTGTTATGACTTACGTCTATCTTCAGTGAGGATAAGGTGCCGACTTGTTCAAAAGCATCTAAGTTTAGATTAATCATTTCATTGTAAGATAAGTCAAGATGCCTAACTTTGGGGATATTTTGAAAAGCTTCAAATTCAAGATCCCGAATATTATTACCTACCAGACTTAAGTATTCTAGGTCGGCCAAATTTGCAAACGCAAATCTCTTCACACTTGTTATCATATTGTCGTCCAAATAAATATACTTCAAGTGATCCAAATCATGAAATGTCATGCTCTCTATGACTGGTATGGCATTGAAAGAAAGCTGAATCGTTGTCAATTCCGGTGTGAATTGTCCTCTGAATTGATGACTGGATAATTTGGAAATTTTATTATCTTCCAAATTGAGATGTCTGAGCTTCTTCATGTGGCTCAAACAATCATTTTGCAAAAAGGTCAGCTTATTGTTGCTCAGATCTAGGATCCTCAGGTTGATTAAATAATGGAATGGTTGGGGAGGCAGTCTCGTGAGCGTTAGACCAGAGCTTACTCTCAATTCCTCAAGACCGCCGACGTTAGCGAAAGCTCTGTTATCGAAGGAATTTATTACGTTGTGGGAAAGATCCAACACCTTAAGTCCTGGAACGTGTTCAAAGGCCAATGCTTTTACGGAAGAAATTTCGTTGTTCATGAGATAAAGTTTTTCAACTGCAGGCCCAAAACCGACGAAATCTTCATTCGATAAATAAAATCCTGGAAATGTGCTGAAGGCGAAAGTTCTCACGTTCCTCATGTTTTTCAAGGCATCCATTGGAATGATGCCCATGTATTCCCCTAGCATGTTTAAATACTGGAGCGTGTATGTAAATCCATTGAAACTCTTTTTAGGATCCAAAATCAGTTTATTGTGAGCCAATGAAAGCCATTTTAAAGAATCAATTCTGTCAAAAATATTTTCTGGTATATCGGTGAGATTATTATAGCTAAGGTCCAGAGTTTCTAAGGTTGCTTCGATGCCGCGAAACGATTTCTCGGACAAGTTCCAAATATCGCAATCTTGCAGGTACAATTCCCGTATTTTTGATCCTTTGAATGCGTCTGCTCCAATCTTTTGCAGAGGGTTTCCTCTGAAAGACGAAGTATTGACGCTATCGAAGTTCTGGAAAGAGTGTGGCGGCAGGTACTCGATGGCGTTAAAGTCGAGAATGAGAGTGTCGAGGGAGAGCGAGCCCATGAACATCACATCGTAGGGCTGACTGATCAAATTTCGTTCCAAATTTAGGTACTGCAGCCCTTTCAGGTACGAAAATGCCATGAAAGGGATGCTCGAGAGAAGATTATTTGCCAAATTCAGGTGTCTTAGCGTGGGAGAGGCACCCTGTTGGTCAAAATCAAATGAATTACCTAAGAACATGTTAAACTTTGCAGACTTGATCTAGAAGAGTCAGTTTTTTATAAAAAAGGTATAATTTAAGTATTTTAGACTCATATTAAAATACTTTTCATTACATACTCTGTTATGACTCTTATTAATATTTTTTTCAATACATACTTTGTTATGAAGATATTAGGCAGTATTTTATTGTAGAAAAGAAGATAAATAATTCGTTCACTTCTATTTCTTCACAAATTTGTCGCATATAATGAAACTTGGTATTATTGTTCGGCTAATCTTAAATTTTTGAATCACCTCAAAGGCTCTGTTGCGTATACTGCGAATATTGTTATCTTGAAGGTCCAGCTCAGTGAGGGAGGACAGCGGTCCGAAGGCTTCGTCGGGGATCTCCACAAGAGAGTTACTGGCCATCAACAGGCGAACGAGGTATCTGTTGAAGCCTTCGAAGTCTTCGGCTGCCACGCTCGTGATATGATTTCCTGGCATACGCGGCGGTCGATCAGAATCACAAAAATGACAATGACGGGTGGAATACAAATGTGTGCCTTAGAAAAAAACATATATTGCGCAAATGCAGTCGCAGAGAAAGAAAATTAATGAAAGCTTGCTTCACGTAACAATGTTAATGCCCGTTTCTGATTTCTTGAAGTAACGCGTACAAACTTTCAGCTAGCAATGTTAGATTTCTTATAGTCCAGATTAATTCGAAACTCTTAAATTATTTCCCATTTCCGATGTCCACTGTCATATCGAACCATTTCTCAGAAGCATACATTTGGGCGCTCTGTGAACCACTCACCTGTCAGGTCTAAAAGTTTCAATTTCCGGAGTCCTTGCATTGCTTCTCTCGGCATCTTGGAAAGCTCATTGTACCTCAGATCCAACTCGGACAAAGAACGACCAATGCCCAGAAAAGCTTTCTCCGGGATGCGGAAAAGGTCGTTGTGTCGTATCTCCAAACGCCACAAGCCTTTAGGGAATGGCACAGAAGAATCTCAGTCACAAGGGATAGATTTCTTTTGCTTGGAAATGGGATACGGACTCTTTTGATCGATCGCCACTTAAGCCTAGAATACTGATACAAAAAAATATATAATGTCGAAAAGATTTAATACTATTCTTTGTAAATAAAACTTGTTTGCAGAAATTGTTTTTGTACATAAATAATATTTTTTTTAATGTGCAACGGGCGATGCTAATGAAGTAGGACTTGCATGCGTCAAAGCTCAAAAATTGGTTAGGAATATATGAATGAGCACAGACAATATATTTTAAATCATTCTTTGTTAAAGTTAATAATAAAAAAAATGCATCGCGCTGAAATCAATGCTTGATCAATATGACATGTTCACATGATCCGATAACTGCAGTTCCTATTCGATTTGCAACTACGACCATGAGCTTAGTGTCTCCAATTATGCACTATAAGAGAATACAAAAAACTGGAATTCCAACGCAGTGAATGGCTTTCGAAAATAAGGTAATAACTTTAGATTTACTGTCAGAAGTCTAGACAAAGTCAAATCAATCACAATTGTAATTATTTGTCTCTTGAAATTTATTCTGCTTAAAGAATCTTTCTCATTTTTAAATTTCCTCCATAATACGATTCGCTCCTATTAAGGTTTTCTACGTGAAAATTTTTTCAACTGGCAGAACATTCATCCCAAATTTTGTGAAATCCTGAAGTTTTCACGTATATCCAACAGAAAAAATATTAATCTAAGACTACTTTTCGCTGTGTAAGCTAAAATGAAATTTGATTTACCACTTGATCCATAGAAAGATCTTTCATCGAGCTGCCGCAGTTTGTTGGAGCGCAGCGTGAGCGTATGGACTCTGGAGCTGTTGAGAACCGGCGGGACGCGGCCCAGCTCGACGTTCTCACAAAATACGATCCCGAGGTCATAATGTGAGTTCGAGGAACAGGAACACTGCCATGAACATAAAAGAAACAAGAAAATTCGATTAAATTTAAAGGTTTGAGGATCAGAGAACTTAATGCAAAGGACAAAATGTGTGTTCGAGAACAAAAACACTTTCATGTAGATAGAAAGAGAGAGAAAATTCAATGTAAGTGGAATCGATCGGTATTAGACGAGCATTTAATGTAACAATTAGAAAAGTCAACAAAATAATCACAAATTTTTACCTGGGAGTTGAAGGCGCATGGTGGATGGTTCTCTTGCAACGGGTGCGACTCTACCCTGCTGATGAATTTCGGTCTTGACTGACTGACTTTGCCGCTTGTTGGGTACCTTGAGTGATGAGATGTTGTGTCATTGCTTAACTTTAAAGATTTATTACCAACGGTAAAATTTAATTTAGGTCGGAAAATCTTGAAAAAAATTAAAGTCTAGTTAAAATTCTCTTTTAGGTTCCATTCTTTAGAGAGCCAGTCGCAATCACGTATTAAAGTAATTAATTGCCAGAATTATCTTATTGAAGTGAAGCAGATTAATGAGTTCAACTGAAGTATTTATACTTACTGAACAGTCTTTATATCTAGAAAAATAGAATAATGGAATGTTTAGATATAAGGCAGGAAGATGTCAATTGTATTCACATAAATGAATTTAAAGACGAAATCTGTAGGAACTCACCGAAATGTGTATAGTTCTGCGAGGACACACTTGCTCAGGCAAGGAGAGAAGAAGATGCCCAGCAAGAAGTGGATGGTAGAGGCAGATACCATCATCTATGAGCAAGAAAGGGAAATATAAGCTAGCGTTTCATTGTTAACTATATTTATTTAAATGAGCGCAATTGATTGCCATGGGTCTAATTAGCTAAAATATATTAATTATAGAGTTCTGATAAAGACCTTGTACCAGCTGTGTTCAAGCTACAAGTTTAAGTTTGTAATTGGCTAATGGCTGCACGGAAGGGAATGAGACGCGGCAGGTCACCGGCTTTTCTGTTGTATCTACACTTCATCGTATAAATCCGTTGGGTACATTCAATTTAGAAGAGGTAAAATTGAACGAATAAAACTAGTTATTCTAACATAAGTAAAAGCGGCTGAATGCATGGCGCGGCTGAAATAAGCGTCATCTGACAGGTAAGCCCTAGCTTGCACAAACCATTTAATAGAAATAGTCTTAAGATTTATGCGACTTGAAGTGACGACATATTTATTAGTGACAATCGATGTGCATACCATCCGTTTAGTTGTCTCAGCTAATTCGCAACACGAAACAATTAACGTGCTTTCAAAAAGTTTTAAATTCCTATTTAAATTTTACTCTTCAATATACATAATACAAATATATAAATGTAGACGCAATATGATATGGAATGTCCTTTACAATACGATTTGAAAGTTCTTTGTGCCATGCATACAGAAACTTTACTAAGGAACCTCGCGAAAAATGATATAATCTTGTGAAACTTGCGCGTTGCTTTACAACGCTATTTACTTGAAGCATCCATAGTTGATACATTTTCTTTCAGGTCTGTTTCCTTCCAGGCAAATTTTCGCGGGATGTTTACAGCATTTTAATCAGCACCCAAGCACACTATGCCAAAGCCTGCGTGCTCTACTTTGAATGACAAGGCCTGGTTTGGCCCTCCACATAACAAAATCAATGAACACTTCACGAGCAAACTTCAATCAAATATCACCTCGTTAAAACGAAATAAAGCATACGCTCTCTTAACATTACTTTGTAGGAAAGAATACAATGACACTAATCTTCTTGAATCAACTTCTACTTTGGCGATTAACCGACGGCGACAACCAACGTTCTGTGGCGGCATTCATCAGGACTGCGTCCTTAAATCTGAACAAAGAAGAACTGTGACAAGATTTGCAATTAATCTACAAAGTATTTTGTGCCGCAGCAATATCACATTCATTCATTCGCTCAATACCAATCACACACCTATATAGTGACACAGTAGTTCATTACTTAGTAATCAAACGACACTTGAACATTTAGGACAAGCAGGACACGAGCACCTACGGGAAGAACTGTCCAAGACTGGCCCTCGGCAGCACGGAGCTGTAGACAACGAGCCTGATAGCATAGCATTACATTGCAGCATCGGCGTTTAAGAATAGGTCAAGTTGGCCTATTGCCGATTCTTATAATGAGTTTGACTTGATCTGAGGACTGGCCTTTTGACCAGGCTCATCCAAAATTAATATTGAGGCTAAATGCTGAACATTCGCTATTTACGCTATGGAACTTTTCGGTTATGGAACTTTTCGGTCTTCGATTGATTTACTTTATATTTTTACACGTTTACGCAAACATAACTGGCCTAGGTTGCTTTTAGAAGTATTTTTAAATTTTTAAATAAAGTATAAACAATCAACATTTTTTGTTGCTCAAAATTTATAAGCTTGAAATATCGCCCGAATTAAGTACGAATGAGTTAGCAGTTGATGCACAATCTATTTCATTATAAAATTCATTCATATTATTTCTTGGAAAAGAGTTAAAAGTTATTCTAAGTTAAAAAAGCCTACTGGCAGTAGTTACTCAAATTGTTCCTGTCGGCAAGTTTAATATTGATCTCGTTCTAAACGTGATTCTGAGTTGTACATTTGAAGAGTATAAAAGATGGATCGTCTGTTATCAATATTTTAGATGAAAACATGAGCCGATAGAATAAAAAATCAAATAAATATTGAAGAAAACGTGTAAGCATCAAAACACTGAAAAAATTTTCATTTGCAAATCTGGGTCGTATTGAAGAGGTCGGCCCATGCACCTGAAAGAATATGAGGGAGAAGGGATTAAGCGACCGCAAATTTTAAGTCCACAAGCGATTCAGGGAGCTAAATATAAATCCCACCCAACGCAACTGTTAATTACGCTTTTGGTCATTATATTTTTCGGTACTCTCTCTATTTAAAAAAATTTTACTAAATGTCCTCAGTTATTTCATGTTAGGCATAGCTGTAGTTTAGCTGGATCATCAATATCAATATTATTATTTTTCAATATTTAGGTCGATTTTTAAGCATTTAGCCCATTTTGACGGACCTATGAATTTTTTCTGAGAATAACTTACTTTTTCCGCGCTTCTTAGGCCTTCCGACGGCAGGTGGCGTGTGGAAGGTACAACCGCTCATAATGCTACTTCACATTTGATCACAAAAAATTTTAATAGTGGTGTAATATATACATATATGTGTATATGAATATTGAGACTGCCGACGGAAATAAAGCCATCGTAAAAGCCTCATCATTGGGTAAACTAGCATAAAAAATTAAAGATCCCTCCTAGATTAATAGATCGTGATGCTAAACAAGCATTGTTGCGTGAGTAATGGCACTTCATTAATTCATTAATAATAAAGTACTGCATCTTCACTGTTATATTATACGTGCATTATAACCGTCACTAACCTGTAAAATTGAGGGTCACAAAAAAAACTAAACTTTCACAGCCTAAACTGACATGTAAGTTTATATATAAAAAGACTTCGTAGAATAAAAGAAACAAATAAGTAGTCTTAAAAATCTAGATTCCTTGGGCAAAACAACAGGCATTGGCTTGAATTCTTCGTCCTAAGTAAACAATTGGCGCATGAAATTTTCAAACTGCAGCACTACCATTATTAAATACAATTTTTTCGGGTCGTTATACTTCAATGAAGAGCAATATAGATATTTATGAGGAAAAATGCTATGATAAGCATTATATGGAAATCTGCGAAATAAACAAACTCTCAGTTTGCCACTCAACGGAGTCCGAGGGATGACGGATAGGGTACAGACGGCGTCGAAAAAAACGGAGCTGAACCCCACAACTTCGTGTTGAATTATGGCCTTTTTTCACATGGTCAGTGGGAAATTGACGCACTGGGGAAAAGTTTATTAATATATAATTTCGGTAACTCGATTGACCGCACCCTGCTCCAGTTCCTTTCACCCTTTCCTCAATCCATAGTCCCATTCCGAAAGAAATGAAGGAATGCCATATTTTAACTTTCTGATTGAGATCAAATATAAATTGAGGAAAATTGGCTTTCTTTTCATTCCTCTATTTTTGTGAATAGAATAATTTCCCTGATCATCCATAGTTCGCATGAACAAGAAACATGTATGTGAATGAAGTCAGTATTTAGGCAGATTCACAAATCCTGGAAATAAATATTCAAACTCAATAAGCTTTGGGTCATGCAGCAGGAAGTCAAATCTCCCATTGACGATTTCCTCCATAAATCATCACTTAAATCCTGGAAATAAATATTCAAACTCAATAAGCTTAGGGTCATGCAAACGGTACTTACTCCTCCCATGAACGTTTTTCTCCTTAAATCATCACTTAGAAACTAAAATCTGCTCGAATCAGGCATCTGCTCAAAACGATATTTACATAGCCAAAATAGTTGGAAATAAGAACAAATATTACGGCTGCTCATTGAGTTGATTAGACCGAAGTGAAGTTACCTTATAAGGTTCATCGAATATCAATTACATTACATAAAGTGCTAGGAACATGCCTACAAACCTTCAGACTCAGTTCAATTTCAGTAAATCTAAATTAGCCAACCATGCTTTAGTATGCGAACCTTGGTCTTTCATAACAGCGATCTACATTTTAATCAAATTAAATAATAAAATCATTCACGTTTTAAGCCGTTAAATTTTATTCCTTTCAATTGCTAACTGAATTAGATCTCATTCCCTACGCACTCCTAAGGGATCTCTCACGCTGCCCAGCACCAGCTTAACACCAACGCATTGCAGCCTCCACAGTCGTCCAATGCATTGCTTTGCTTGGTGCATTAATCTCACTAAAGATGGTTTTTAAATGTATAAATGAATTAACTATCTTCGTTTATATGCTTTTATATCTATTTAATCGGTGAGTATTTAATTTATTGGAAGCTGTTGCTACTCCACTCATAAGTCATATTATTCAAATTTTTTATCATCCCCTTGTTTTATCATCCCCTTGTTTTAAATGTTATTATCGTCATTTTATTTTATTTTTCGCGACACCTGCAGGAGAGCGAGCTCCTTCTTTTTGTCTCATTTTATCCAATGTTATTTCTGCCTTTTGTATCACCTCCACTCCATACAGCCTCACTTGGCACATACGTACAATTCTCGTACAATGGATGCCCAATTTTTCAATACGGGCTCTCCTGAATAAATATTATTCTTGCTTATTAGCTCGCAAAAGCGCAAATGGCTGAAGGTTATGAAAAACGAAGAAAAGCTTATGAAATGACGAGTGATCTTTTTCCTGCTGGCAAAAAGTAACATGCCTGATGCGCAATGCATAGCTCGCTAGAGTCTAACGAATACCAATTGTCGAAGTAACTTGTCCAGGAAAAGTTGAAAATTATTCTGTGATTTGGAAGCCAGAAAAGTTCGAAATAAGCGAAAACTGACGAAGTTACGTTAAGAATTTAATCATTTAAGTAAATAATTTTCGAAATTACGTCATACCTACTGCTCCTCTAAACTGCAATATAACGCTACCATGCAGTGCACATATTTCAAATTGAACGCTGCGCGCTCGCGGTATGTCGTATTGATAAAAGAAGCTTCTGTAAAATGCCAACTATCCTGCCTTTATTGTGTCTCTATTTTCTCAATGGAAAAATTTATTGTTAGCTGGGACTACGTATCTCAGTGTCTCAACTTGTGCTCTGTTGAGTAGGTGTTCAGTTCATTGATGCATGCCGAGTATTCATTAAAATTTTGTAAAAAGGTTACGAACTTTTGCGTT